CACGCTTGTAATCTCAGCACTTTGGGAGGCTGAGGCAGGCAGATCATGAGGTCAGGAGTTCGTGACCAGCCTCACCAACATGGTGAAACCCCATCTCCACTAAAAATACAAAAATTAGCCAGACCTGGTGCCGCACGCCTGTAATCCCAGCTACTTGGGAGGCTGAGGCAGGAGAATCACTTGAACTAGGGAGGTGGAGGTTGCAGTGAGCCAAGAGAGCACCACCGCACTCCAGCCTGAGCAACTGAGCGGGACTCTGTCTCAAAATAATAATAAATAGGAGTGAGGCAGTGGGGTTAAAAATAATAATAATAATAATAAATAAATAAATAAAGCATGCTCTCTGCCCCACATTGGGCAACCTCCCCAGGATGTGCCACTCAGATATATACTGTATTTCCTCTCTCCTCCTCCAACCAGTGCAGTGCAGCCATCAAAAAAAAAAAAAAAAAAAAGCAAGGTGTGGTGGCTTAGGCCTGTAATCTCAGCACTTTGGGAGGCCAAGTCGGGTGGATCACTTGAGGTCAGGAGTTCGAGACCAGCCTGACCAACATGGTGAAACCCCATCTCTACTAAAAACAAAAAAATTAGCAAGACACGGTGGCATGCACCTGTGATCCCAGCTATTTGGAAGGCTGAGGCAGGAGAATCACTTTAACCTGGTAGGTGGAGGTTGTGGTGTGCTGAGATTGCCCCACTACACTCCAGCCTGGGCAACAGAGCGAGACTTCGTCAATAAATAAATAAATAAATAAATACCTGTCCCCAAATCTGTGCTACTCTCTCTCTTTTTTTTTTTTTTTGAGATGGAGTTTTGCTCTTGTTGCCCAGTCTGGAGTGCAATGGTGCCATCTCGGCTCACCACAACCTCCACCTCATGGATTCACGTGATTCTCCTGCCTCAGCCTCCCGAGTAGCTGGAATTACAGGCATGTGCCATCAAGCCCAGCTAATTTTGTATTTTCAGTAGAGACAGGGTTTCTCCATGTTGGTCAGGCTGGTCTCGAACTCCCAACCTCAGGTGACCCACTGGCCTTGGCCTCCCAAGGTGCTGGGATTAAAGGCATAAGCCTGGTGCTACTCTCTTAATTCACTACATGGCCACCACACATGATCAGGTCCCCCAATATCATTATGAATCTTATCCTATCTTGTCACCCTCCTCCAGCCACAGTAGTGTCCTTTTGAAAGTTCCCACAACACACCAACTGTGCTCCCATCTTAGGGCTTTGCACTTTCCTTTACCTAGAATGCTCTTTCCCCAGTGAATGGCTCACTTCTTTGTCCTTTTTAGATCTCTATGAAAATGTCATTTTCTCAGAGAGGTCTTCTCTGACCACTGCTTTTTCTGTTGTTTTTTTGAGACAGAGTTTTGCTCTTGTTGCCCAGGCTGGAGTGCAATGGTGCGATCTCAGGTCACCGCAACCTCTGCCTCCTGGGTTCAAGCAATTCTCCTGCCTCAGGCTGCTGGGTAGCTGGAATTAAGGCATGCACCACTATGTCTGGCTAATTTTTTATTTTTTAGTAGAGACGGGGTTTCTCCATGTTGGTCAGGCTGGTCTCGAACTCCCAACCTCAAGTGATCTACCTGCTTCAGCCTCCCAAAGTGCTCGGATTATAGGCATGAGCCACTGCACCCGGCCTGACCACTCCTTTTAGGAGAAACTTCCCAACTCCACTTAGCACTCCCTATCCTTCTTGCTTTTTCTTTGTACTTCTCATATTTGACATACTATGTTGTTTATTTATTTGTTCATTAGATGTTCCTAATTGGTTGATTAGAAACATTTTTGTCTGTTTGTTTTACTGCTGTCTACCAGTACCTACAATAGTGTCTGGTACACAGGCTGGTGTTCTGTAAGTGAGTGCTGAGTGAACAAAGAGATTGGTGGGGAGGCTATTCCAAGAGACAGAACTGTGTGTGAACAAACTGGTGTGATACAATGAGTGTGAACTTTTTGTTTGTTTGTTTTTTTGAGATGGAGTCTCACTCTGTCACCAGGCTGGAATGCAGTAACACAATCTTGGCCATTACAACCTCCGTCTCCCAAGTTCAAGCCAATTCCCCTGCCTCAGCCTCCAAAGTAGCTGTGACTACAGGCATGCGCCACCACATCCAGCTAATTTTTTGTATTTTAGTAGAGACAGTGTTTCACCATGTTGCCCAGGATGGTCTCAATCTCCTGACCTCATGATCCACCTGCCTCAGCCTCCCAAAGTGCTGGGATTACAGGCGTGAGCCACCGTACTTGGCCGTAACTGTGGACTTTATCTTGTCAGTGATAGCAGTGGACTCGATCTGGGGAGTGAAACTATCAAATGAAATAGTGCTGAGGAGAAGATGAGGCTATGGATGTAATGTTTTCTTCAGGCCAGAAAGAAGGAATCTTGAACTAAGGGAGTGGCAGCAAGAGGAGGAATGGAAATGAGGGGCTTCTGTCAAGAGATATTCAGAAGTAGACTTTAGTGACTAACTAAATGTGTGAGGTAAAGGAAAGGGAAGGTTATAAAATGATTATCAGACTTCTAGATTAAGCAACTAGATGCAAGTTTGTGTTATTAACCAAAATTGGGATTAGAAGAAAAGCAACCAATTTGCAAACATGACAAGTTAAATTAATTTAACAAAAGTTAATTAAATTAACTTTTGGGCTTGAGTTTGAGGTTCTAGGGATGACCCAGAAGCAGTTGAAGTATAGCACCTCAATGTTTCCAAATCTGATCCTGTTCCTCCTTCAAAAACCCTGTTGCCAGCTGGGCTCGGTGGCTCATGCCTGCAATCCCAGCACTTTGGAAGGCCGAGGCCAGCAGATCATGAGCTCAAGAGATTGAGAGGATTGTGGCCAACATGGTGAAACCCCGTTTCTACTAAAAATACAAAAATTAGCTGGGCGTGGTGGTGTGTGCCTGCAGTCCCAGCTACTCTGGAGGCTTAGGCAGGAGAATCGCTTGAACCTGCTTGAATCCAGGAGGTGGAGGTTACAGTGAGCCGAGATCCCTACTGCACTCCAGCTTGGTACCAGAGTGAGATTCCATCTCAAAACAAACAAACAAAACCTTGTTGCCTAATTGGGAACACCCAAACCCCTGTGCAGAGTCAAAGCCTGTCAAGCCATATACTGCTTTCTCCCCCACCCCATCTTTTACTGTTCCAACCAAATCTCCACTCTGGTCCCACTTTAGTGAAGTTCTCTTAACTCTTCCTTGTTTTACTGTCTTTGCTCACACTGCCCCCTCCGTCTATTAAGAAAAAAAAAAAAAATTCTTGCCGGGCACGGTGGCTCAAGCCTGTAATCCCAGCACTTTGGGAGGCCAAGGTGGGTGGATCACGAGGTCAAGAGATCGAGATCATCCTGGTCAACATGGTGAAACCCCGTCTCTACTAAAAATACAAAAAATTAGCTGGGCATGGTGGTGTGTGCCTGTAATCCCAGCTACTCAGGAGGCTGAGGCAGAATTGCCTGAACCCAGGAGGCAGAGGTTGCGGTGAGCCGAGATTGCGCCATTGCATTCCAGACTGGGTAACAAGAGCGAAACTCTGTCTAAAAAAAAAAAATTCTTTATTTGAGATGGAGTCTTCCTCCACTGCCCAGGCTGGAGTGCAGTGGTGTGATCTTGGCTCACTGGAACCTCTGCCTCCCGGGTTCAAGCAATTCTCCTGCCTTCGCCTCCCCAGTAGCTGGGATTACAGGTGCACGCCACCACATCCGGCTAATTTTTTATATTCTTGGTAGAGATGGGGGTTTCACCATGTTGTCCAGGCTGGTCTTGAACTCCTGACCTCAAGTGATCCGCCCACCTAGGCCTCCCAAAGTGCTGGGATTACAAGCGTGAGGCACCCTACCCGGCCTTTTTGTTGTTGTTGTTGTTGTTTGTTTTTTTGAGACAGGGTCTCACTCTGTTGCCCAGGCTGGAGTGTAATGGAATGACCATGGTTCACTGCAACCTCAACCTCCCAGGCTCAAGAGATCCCCCACTACGTGGCTTAAATTTTAAAAGACAAACATATTTGTAGAGATGGGGATCTCACTATGTTGCCCAGGCTGGTTTCTAACTCCTGGGTGCAAGCGACCCTCCTCTATCAGCCTTCCTAAATTTTGAAATTACAGGCGCGAGCCACAGTGCCCGGCCCCTATAACATCTCTCCCCAAGGAACTCGTACCCACTCCCCAATCCTCATCTCAGTGACCCTAGTCTGCTCAATTCTACCCACTTCAAGCATCTGTTACAGCAGATTCGTCCTCCTGGTCCCTTGCCCCTCACTTGCCTAAGACCCTCAAGGGCAAGGCCGGAGACTACAACTCCCCAAAGCCTACAGAGCCCAGTCAGGCGTCCCCCGGTTGCGGGTTTCTGCAGCAGCTGACTTAAAACAGGCGTGACCGAAATCAGCAGAACTGAGGGAAACGGGTCGTTTTGTACCTCTTCGCCGTAATCCTCTGGACCGAATTCCTTGCAAAGTTTGGGGACAGCAGCGACCTCCAGCGGGCAGCTGGGCCGCAGAGGGCAGTCTACAGGAAAGAAAGGCGGAGCCTCGTCAGCAAGTTTAGGATAGATGGTCAGAGTCCTCCCCGCTCCACCCTCGACTCTCCGCCCCCTCTGCCCTCTGCGTAAAATCCTCCTCGAAACGTTAAGACCACAGGTGAACCCAAGAGGGGCTGCCTCTGCCTTCTTAGACGTCCTCTGGCTTGTCACACCGCTCACCCAGCTTAATCCGCCCCACAGTCTTCGGAATCGGCGCCATCGCCCGTCAACAGTGATCCGGAAGTGAAAGGTAGTCTAGTATTTGATACCAGACAAAAGGCGGGGTAGGACAGGATGTGCGGCCATCTTTGTTAGGGGCAGAAGCCTCCGATTACGGAGCCCGAGAGAATCCATGAAGGTCCCCGCGACTCCCGAACTGGAGAAAACCGTTTTTGGGATGGGGCGAAGTCTGAGCTACAGCAGGCGTTGGTCAGTGCGGGGAAGTGGGAATCGTTAGGTTCGTTCCGGACTCGCCGCCCATGGCCCAGACGTCTCGCTCTGGTAGCCTGCCTCCGCTCGCTACCGTGCCCCCGCAGCGGGCGCAAACCGTGGGCACTGGGGAGGAACAGTGGGAGAGAATGCGAACGGGCGCTCTCCGCAGGGAGGTTCGCGGCTGGCTGGGGCTGCCGGTAGCCGGGAGCATCCCCTACCCGGGGATACGGCCGGGAGGAGCTTCTGGAGGGACGCCGTGGTGGCCGAAGCCGGCGGGTGTGAGCGAGGCCCACGATGCTGCGGCCTGGAGGCAGGGGGCCGCAGGTGGCGGCCCGATCCCTCCCGCGCTGCAGCGTCTCCGTGCGGTGTTGCTGCGGCTGCACCGCGAGCGGGAGCAGCTCCTCCTGGCCCGAGACTGTGCCTGCCACCTACAGGCGGCTCTGCGCCTCCTGAAGACCCTGAGTCCTGGCTCGCCCTCCGGCAGCCCTAGCTCCTTGCCCCAGCTGTGCCGCGACTTGCAGCTGCACCTTTCCCAAGGGGCAGTCCTGCGAATCGGCCTTGGGGAGCCGCTGCTGCTTGCGCGCCCCATCGGACTAGCCGCCCAGTGCCTGGAAGCTATCATCAAGACGCAGCTTCGCGCTCTCGGCCGGGAACCCGCCAGCCCGGGTCTGTCGTCCCAACTCGCCGAGCTGCTCTTGGCACTTCCCGCCTACCACACGCTACAGGGAAAAGCCTTGAGCCACGTCCCAGGGGCTGCACGTCCTTTCCCGACGTCCCGTGTGCTCCGCCTCTTGACGGGAGAACGGGGTTGCCAGGTGGCAAGTCGGCTGGACGAGGCGCTCAGGGGATCAGGATTGAGGGACCAGCTCCGCAGGCTGTTTCATGAGGAGCAGAATCTGCTACCAGGGCTGCTGGGCCTGACAGGGGGCATGGCGGCTTCAGCCAGCTGTGGACTGGGGCCTGGAAGGGCCAGAGCCTTGTGGAGCCAATATTGGACCCTGCTGTGGGCAGCCTGTGCTCAGAGTCTGGACCTAAATCTGGGACCCTGGAGGGACCCCAGGGCAGCAGCGCAACAGCTGAGTCAGGCACTGGGTCAGGGTGAGTGATGGGCTTGGGTGAGCATTCGGGAAGGCTGGGTTCTCTTCCTTCCCCCTGGCCAACTCACTCACCTGCCATCCTGAAGGCAAAAGCAGGCGCTTTAGAATTAACACCCCTGGGTTCAGACTATAGCTTCTGAGCTTTCAAGGCAAAGTCTTGCTTTCCACCCCAGTCCTGAGTCTTGGAGGAAGCATGCTGTCTTGCCTCATCATTGAGTGGGCAGGGGTTGTGGGAAGTGAGACCTTGTTTTCAGGCTCCAGAGCCATTTCTCCCACTAGCGTCCCTACCTCAGGAGTATGAGAAGGAGCTGGCTTCTCTGTGTCACAGCCTACTTCATCAGTCGCTAATCTGGAGCTGGGACCAAGGTGAGAAGGAAGGGGCACTGGGAATGACGTAAGTCCCAGGTTACCCCTTCCCCATCAGACTAGACTTTCTCATCCTCAGGTTTCTGCCAGGCTTTGGGATCAGCTCTTGGGGATCAGAACGGCCTTCCCACATCCTCTCGCACTGCTGAACTTTTGCAGCAGCTCTTTCCTCCTCTCTTGGATGCCCTTCGAAAGCCCAGGTTACAATTGATTTTCCGGCAGCCTGCAGGTGAGACAAGAGGCTGGGGATGGGGAGACAGAGCAGTTGAGGATATCTCCTTTTTTCTTTCACTCTGTTCTGGCGTCTGCCTCTTCCCAAAGGTACTCTGTGACCCCTAAGATGCTTACTCTGTTGCTCATCTCCCCAGATCCTGAGCCTATCGCCCTGGGGCTATGTACCTTGCAGACCACCTTGCTTTGGTTTCTGGGCAGAGCTCAGCAGTACTTGGCAGCATGGGACCCAGCTTCCTTTCTGCTCCTAATCCAAAAAGACTTACCTGTGAGTGAGTGGGGAAAGGGGAGGGGAGCAGCCTGGGCTAGGCTGAGCCCTCACTCCCTGTTTCCACCCAAAGCCTCTGTTGCACGAGGCAGAAGCTTTGTCTAGCCTGGCCTCAGAGGAAAGCTTAGCTCTGGAAATGGAGCAGCAGCTGGGCCTGGAGATCCAGAAGCTGACTGCACAGATCCAGGTGAGAACAGGGGCCTCAACAGTGGCAGTTTAAGACCCTAATTTATGTGCCAACTATTGGGGGAGGGAAGAATAGAACATCTCAGTGACCTGGAATCTCCTTGGAGTCTCTGCTAAATTTATCTTTTTTTGCTCTGTTCATTTTTTGTTCTCTTTAACTTTTTTAGACAGGGTCTCACTTTGTCACTCAGGTTAGAGTGCAGTGGCACAATCGTAGCTCGTTGCAGCCGCAATCTGGCTAACTTTTGTATGTTTTGGTAGAGACAGGGTTTCACCATGTTCAATCTGGTCTCCGACTCCTGAGCTCAAGTGATCCACCCACCTTGGTTTCCCAAAGTGCTGGGATTACAGGCATACGCCACTATGCCTGGCCCCTTTAACTTTTTACTATGGAAATTTTCAAACATGTATAAATGTAGAGAGAGGTATATAATAGACTGCCATATGTCTATCACCAAGCATTTAACAATTATCAACTCATGGTCAATTTCATCTATGTATCCCCTACCCTCTCCCCAGGATTGCCAGACTCTTTTTTTGTGATGGCAACAGCAGATCATTCCCTTGATTCATTATTTCATTAGAGGTTCTAAAGGGGTGACATTTCAATTCTTATTATTCATACTTCATTTGTGACTTGGATTACTCCTATACAGAAAAATTTGCCTTCATTAGAGAATTGGTTACTCCTAGGTATGTTTTAAAGAGAAAATTCAGGATAAATGATTGCATCTTTCTCTTTACTTACGTTATTGACACATTTCTCCTCTCTTTAAAAGTTTTATTTGTATTTTTTATTAATGCTTTGTGAGGCCAAGGCAAGAGTATTGCTTGAGGCTAGGAGTTCAAGACCACACAGGGCTACACAGCGAGACTACCATGGGCAACATAGAGAAACCCTCGTCTCTACAAAAATTAAAAAATTTAGCTGAGCATGGTGGTGTGCACCTGTAGTCCCAGCTACTCGGGAGGCTAAGGCAAGAGGATCATTTGAGCCCAGGAGGTTGAGGCTGCAGTAAGCTGTGATCACTGTACTCCAGCCATCCTAGGCAACAGAATGAGAGACCTTGTCTCAAAAAATACAAAATAATGCATGTCTACAGTTTAAAAAATAAATTAGAATATTATTTTATAAATCTAATGAAAAAAATTGCACTTTTTGCCCTCACTCACCTCTGATTTCTGTTTCACAGTGGTAACCTTCATCCATGATTGCCTGTTTCTCCTAACATTTTCTTATATATTTATGAGTAAAACCATTGTATTTTTTCTTCCCCATTTTGCATATTATCTATTCCTATGTGGAAGATGTCTGGTTTTTTGTTTTCCAGCTCAATTTTCTCCTCTTTGCCCTGAATAGGAATGTGGCTGTAGAGTTCAGTCCTTAACTGTCTGCTTTTCTCTCTATTCCTGGTTACCCACAGTGTCTCGGTGCTGTGAACTCCCGAGTTCAGTCTTTCTGGCTCCCAGAGTTCTTTTTTTTTTCTAAGACAAGGTTTTACTCTGTCACCCAGGCTGGAATGCAGTGGTGTGATCTTGGTTCACAGCAATGTCCACCTCCTTAGCTCAAGCAGTCCTCCCACCTGAGCCTCCTGAGTAGCTGGGACCACAGGTGCAAGCCACAATGCCCAGCTACTTAAAGATTTTTTTTTTTGTAGAGATAAGGTTTTTCCATATTGCCCAGGCTGGTCTTTTTTTTTTTTTTTTAATTGCATTTTAGGTTTTGGGGTACATGTGAAATGCAAGATTGTTGCATAGGTACACACATGGCAGTGTGATGTGCTGCCTTCCTCCCCATCACCTATATCTGGCATTTCTCCCCATGCTATCTCTCCCCAACTCCCCACCCTCCGCTGTCCCTCCCCTATTTCCCCCCTACAGACCCCAGTGTATGATGCTCCCTTCCCTGTGTCCATGTGTTCTCATTGTTCAACACCCACCTATGAGTGAGAACATGCGGTGTTTTATTTCCTATTCTTGTGTCAGTTTGCTGAGAATGATGGTTTCCAGGTTCATCCATGTCCCTACAAAGAACACGAACTCATTGTTTTTGATGGCTGCATGGTATTCCATGGTGTATATGTGCCACATTTTCCCTGTCCAGTCTATCATCGATGGGCATTTGGGTTGGTTCCAGGTCTTTGCTATTGTAAACAGTGCTGCAATGAACATTCGTGTGCATTTCTCCATATCCTTATAGTAGAATGATTTGTAATCCTTTGGATATATACCCAGTAATGGGATTGCTGGGTCAAATGGAATTTCTATGTCTAGGTCCATTTTTTTTTATCTTTTTTTTTTTTTTAAGATGGGGTTTCACCATGATGGCCAGGCTGGTCTTGAACTCCTGACCTCAGGTGACCCACCCACCTCGGCCTCCTAAAGTGCTAGGATTACAGGCGTGAGCCACAGCTCCTGGCCCTCTATGTCTAGGTCCTTAAGGAATTGCCAGACTGTCTTCCACAATGGCTGAACTAATTTGCACTCCCACCAACAGTGTAAAAGTGTTCCTATTTCTCCATATCGTCTCCAGCATCTGTTGTCTCCATATTTTTTAATGATCGCCATTCTAACTGGCATGAGGTGGTATCTCAATGTAGTTTTGATTTGCATTTCTCTAATGACCAGTGATGATGAGCATTTTTTCATATGTTTGTTGGCCTCATGTATGTCTTCTTTTGTAATATGACTGTTCATGTCCTTTGCCCACTTTTGAATGAGCTTGTTTTTTTCCTGTAAATCTGTTTGAGTTCTTTGTAGATTCTGGATATTAGCCCTTTGTCAGATGGGTAGATTCTGTTGGTTGCCGATTCACTCTAATGACTTTCTTTTGCTGCGCAGAAGCTGTGGAGTTTGATTAGGTCCCATTTGTCTATTTTGGCTTTTGTTGCCAATGCTTTTGGTGTTTTGGTCATAAAGTCCTCACCTACGCCTATGTCCTGAATGGTTTTGCCTAGGTTTTCTTCTAGGGTTTTTATGGTGTTAGGTCTTATGTTTAAGTCTTTAATCCATCTGGAGTTAATTTTAGTGTAAAGAGTCAGGAAGGGATCCAGTTTCTGCTTTCTGCACATGGCTAGCCAGTTTTCCCAACACCATTTATTAAACAGGGACTCCTTCCCCCATTGCTTGTTTTTGTCAGGTTTGTCAAAGATCGGATGGTTGTAGATGTGTGGTGTTGCCTCCGAGGCCTCTGTTCTGTTCCATTGGCCTATATCTCTGTTTTGGTACCAGTACCATGCTGTTTTGATTACTGTAGCCTTGTAGTATAGTTTGAAGTTCAGTAGTGTGATGCCTCCTGCTATGGTTTTTTTTTTTTTTTTTTGCTTAGAATTGACTTGGCTATGTGGGCTCTCTTTTGGTTCCATTTGAAGTTTAAGGTGGACAGTTCTGTGAAGAAGGTCATTGGTAGCTTGATGAGGATAGTGTTGAATCTGTAAATTACTATGGGCAGTATGGCCATTTTCACAATATTAATTCTTCCTAACCATGAACATGGAATGTTTCTCCATCTCTTTCTGTCCACTCTTATTTCGTTGAGCAGTGGTTTGTAGTTCTCCTTGAAGAGGTCCTTTACATCCTTTGTTAGTTGTATTCCCAGGTATTGTATTCTCTTTGTAGCAGTTGTGAATGGCAGTTTGTTCTTGATGTGGCTCTCTTTAAGTCTGTTATTGGTGTATAGGAATGCTTGTGAGTTTTGCACATTGATTTTGTATCCTGAGACTTTGTTGAAGTTGCTTATCAGTTTCAGGAGATTTTGGGCTGAGACGATGGGGTCTTCTGGATATACAATCATGTCGTCTGCAAATAGAGACAATTTGACTTCCTCCTTTCCTATTTGAATACCCTTTATTTCTTTTTCTTGCCTGATTGCTCTGGCTAGAACTTCCAATGCTATACTGAATAGGAGTGGTGAGAGAGGGCATCCTTGTCTAGTGCTGGATTTCAAAGGGAATGCTTCCAGTTTTTGCCCATTCAGTATGATATTGGCTGTTGGTTTGTTGTAAATAGCTTTTATTATTTTGAGATACATTCCATCAATACCTAGTTTATTGAGGGTTTTTAGCATAAAGTGCAGTTGAATTTTGTGAAAGGCCTTCTCTGCATCAATTGAGATAATCATGTGGTTTTTGTCTTTGGTTCTGTTTATGTGGTGAATTACATTTATAGACTTGCATATGTTGAACCAACCTTGTATCCCTGGGATGAAGCCTACTTGATCATGGTGGATAAGTTTTTGATGTGCTGTTGCAATCAGTTTGCCAGTATTTTATTGAAGATTTTTGCATCTATGTTCATCATGGATATTGGCCTGAAGTTTTCTTTTCTTGTTGAGTCTCTGCCGGGCTTTGGTATCAGGATAATGTTGGTGTCATAAAATGATTTGGGAAGGATTCCCTCTTTTTGGATTGTTTGGAATAGTTTCAGAAGGAATGGTTCCAGCTCCTCTTTGTATGTCTGGTAGAATTTGGCTGTGAACACGTCTGGACCTGGGCTTTTTTTGTGTGGTAGGCTCTTAATTGCTGCCTCGACTTCAGACCTTGTTATTGGTCTACTCAGGGTTTCGGCTTCTTCCTGGTTTAGGCTTGGGAGGATGCAAGTGTCCAGGAATTTATCCATTTCTTCCAGGTTTACTAGTTTATGTGCATAGAGATGTTTGTAATCATCTCTGATGATGGTTTGTTTTTCTGTGGAATCTGTGGTGATATCCCCTTTATCATTTTTTATTGCATGTATTTGATTGTTCTCTCTTTTCTTTTTTATTAATCTGGCTAGTGGTCTATTTTGTTATCTTTTTAAAAAATCAGCTCCTGGATGTATTGATTTTTTTTTTTTTTTGAAGGGTTTTTTGTGTCTCTGTCTCCTTCAGTTCTGCTCTGATCTTAGTTATTTCTTGTCTTCTGCTAGGTTTTGAGTTTTTTTGGTCTTGCTCCTCTAGCTCTTTCAATTTTGATACTAAGGTGTCGATTTTAGATCTTTCCTTGCTTCTCATGTGAGCATTTA